CTCTTCCTTCAGGGGCCCCGCCCGCAGCTTCTTCTGCTTCCTCAGAGGGGCCCCCTCCTCTCCCTACAGCAGCAAATCTTGATGAAGAAGTCCGCCTATTAAAGCCTTTTGCTTACCCTTGTATATCCTGGAGCAGAGTTAAAAGGTGCTTCTGTCTACGCGTATTTCAGCTGCTGCACTCCCCTGCACACAATCTACCTAGTCAAAAACACTTAGGGGCCCCAGGGGGCCCCCAGAAGGACTCAGGGGCCCCAGGGGGGCCCCATCAAGATCCGGGGGCCCCTGGGGGCCCCCAGCAAGATGTGGGGGCCCCGGGGGGCCCCCCTCACGACGTAGATCGCCCAGGGGGCCCCCAGCAAGATATAGGGGGCCCTGAGGGCCCCCAGCAAGAGTCTGGGGCCCCCAAGGGGCCCCTAAAGAAAAGGAGAGGTAAACTCCTCTATAGCAGAACATTCAGTATAAAAACATACGGGGGCCTCGAGGAGGCCCTAGCAGCAACATATGAAGCAGCAAAGGCAGTTGGTTATGAGCCCCTAAGACCTTTAGATGGGGCCCCCATAGAGGGGCCCCCTTTAAAGGGGGCCCCCCCTCAAGGGGCTCCCAAGGAGGAGCCCATGGGGGCCCCTATACCCAGCGCTACGGGGGGGGGGCCCCTACGGGGCCCCCCAGAAGATTCTTTGGAGGCCTCTACTGCAGCGCAGATGAAAGGGGGCCCCCAAGACAAGCTGCAAGAGGAAGAGGGCCCTGATGGGCCCCCCAACTGCTCAGCAGCAAATAGTTTACCGGAGGCAGCAGCACTTGTCTCGGGAGAAGCGGCAGCAGGGGGGGGCCCCCAGTGTGAATATGCTACAGGGGGCCCCAACGGGGGCCCCCATGGGGCCCCCAAAGAAATAGATAGTGCATTTCAAACGGAAAGACAGACGCAGGAGAAGGGAGGGGGGCCCCCCGCTCAGCAGCAGAAGAAAGGGCCCCCCACTGCATCTCCTTCTTATTATGTTATGCAGGAGGGGGCCCCCAAGCTAGACTCCTACTGCAGCAGCAGCAGCAGCAGCAACAAAGGGAGGGCCCCCTTGGGGGCCCCTGATGCTGCTGCAGTTCTTGGGGGCCCCCCACCTGCTGATGTCTCGCAGTGGTGCCTCCATTCCGCTCCTCTGAGTAGAGCAGCAGAAGGGCCCCCGCAGCAGCAGCAGCAGCAGCAGGAGCAGCAGCAGGAGCAGCAGCAGGAGCAGCAGCAGATCTCCGCTGCTATTTCTGCAAGTGTGGCAGCACAGGAAGCAGCAGTAGCAGCATCAGCAGCAGCAGCAGCAGCAGCAGCAGCAGCAGCAGCAGCAGCACCGGCTGCGGAGGGTCCTGGGCCTTCGCTTCTGTCCATTCGAAAACCCCTGCAAGGGGGGCCCCCAATCTCCTCCTTGGGGGGGCCCCCTATAGAGACTGTAGGGCCTCAGGGGCCCCCTTCCCTAGAAGAAGAGACAGCAACAGGGGCCCCCTCAACACGGCAACAGGGGGGGGCCCCCAACTTCGATGAAGTAGACCCTTGGAGTGTCTCTGTTCCTTCTCCCCAGGGCCCCGCGGAGCCCCCCACGCAACAGCAGCAGCAGCAGCAGCAGCAGCAACAGCAGCGGCAGCAGCAGCAGAGGATTCTTATGGGGGCCCCTCGCTCCATGGGAGGGGCCCCCAAGGCGACCTATTTGAGGTCATCAGAACAGCAGCAGCGAGACAGGTGGGGGGGGCCCCCCTCTCCTAGCAGGCCCCCAGGGGGGCCCCCCTCCTCAACAGGGGCTGAGAGGTATTCCTCAAATTCACGCAAAATCGAAAGACAAGAGCATGACCCTAGGGGGCCCCTCAGGGATCGGGGGCCCCCCGGAGATTGGGGGCCCCCCAGAGATAGAGGGGCCCCCAGGGATAGGGGGGCCCCTGGAGATAGGGGGGCCCCCAGAGACAGGGGGGCCCCCAGGGATTGGGGGCCCTTCAGGGACAGGGGGCCCCCTGATGATAGGGGTCTCCCCGGAGATAGGGGGGCCCCCAGAGATAGGGGGCCCCCAAGAGATAGGGGGCCCCCCAGAGATAGGGGGGCCCCCAGAGATGGGGGGGCCCCCAGAGATGGGGGGCCCCCAAGAGATAGGGAGGCCCCCAGAGAAAGTTTTGCTGCAGCGGCAAGGCCTCACAGCATCAGCCGCCAGCGGCGACAGCAGCAGCAGCAGCAGCAGGACCCGCAGCAGCAGCAGCAGCAGCAGCGTCTGCTGCTGCAGCACAAAAGGGAGACGCCGCCGCATAGAAAGGAAGACAGACAGACAGCATGGGGAGAGGGGCCCCTCAGCAGATATAGGGGGCCCCCCAGCGCGCGCAGCGGGGGGGGGCCCCCCTATGCTGCAACGGGGGGCCCCCCACGGCGCAGCCATTCGAGGGGACAGAGAGACTGTCTCTCTCCCTTCCGTTTGACTTCACGGGCCTACAGGCGCCGCAGCAGCAGCAGCAGCAGCATCAGACGACGCAGACGCAGCAGCAGCTGCAGCAGCAGACGCAGCAGCAGACGACGCAGCAGCAGCAACACCGCAAGAAACAGGAAGCCATGCAGCAGCAGCAGTAGCAGCAGCAGACCGGGGGAAAGAAGCCGAGACACTGCCTACAGGGGCAGAAGCAGATGCCACCGCCGCAGCAGCAGCTGCAGCAGCAGCAGCAGCAGCAGCAGCCGCAGTAGCAGCAGCAGCAGCAGAAGACGCAGCAGCAGCAGCATGGGCCTAGGGTACCCAAGCGGGAAACCGCCGGCAGCGAAGCAGCTCTTCAGGAGAAGCCGATGCAGCAGCAGCAGGATACGCAAAAGGAGCAGCAGCAGCAGCAACAGCAGACGCAGCAGCAGACGCAGCAGCAGCCAGCAGCAGCGTCGGGAGCGCATGCTACGCAAATTAACCCCGTGGGAGTTGGAGGGCCCCCGCAGAAGGGACAGGAGGCCCTCACCAGGACAGAGGGATTTAAATAGGAAGAGCAGCAGCAGCAGCAGCAGACGCAGACGCAGCAGCATACGCAACAGGGGAAGAGGCAGGCGCAGCAGCAGCAGCAGCAGCAGCAGCAGCAGAAGGCGCAGCGGTAGCAGAAGCTGCAGCAGAAGCGCGAACTGGGGCCTCCAAGGGCTCCGGAAGGAGACAGATGCAGCAGCAGCAGCAACAGCAGCAGCAACCGCAGCAGGAAGAGCAACAGAAGCAGGAAAGCGTGTTGATAGTAGGTATCCGTTTGACCAGCAGCAGCAGCAGCAGCAGCAGCTGTTGGCCTCTCGTTTCCCCTCTGAAAGGAGACACTTGTCTCTTTACGAGAGGAGACAGTTGTCTCCGCCTCAACTGCAGCAGCAGCAAACACAGGGGCCCTCCCCCCCCCTGTCTCCTGGGGGCCCCCCAGAGGCCAGGGGGCCCCCAGGGGGTACCCCAGAAAACAGGGGGCCCCTTAGGGGCCCCTCAGAGTGCGGGGGCCCCCCTAGGGGCACCCATAGGGGCCACCCAGAGGGCAGGGGCCCCCCTGGGGGCCCCCCAGAAGACAGGGGGCCCCTTAGGGGCCCCCTTAGGGGCCCCTCAGAGGGTAGGGGCCCCCATAGGGGGCCCCCAGAGGGTAGGGGGCCCCCTATGGGGCCCCCTACCCTGGCAACGGTGTTTGTTGAGGGGCCCCCGCTGCATAAGCGGCCTAAACAGATAAGTGTCTCTCTTAAAGGAGACGGCACACGAAGAGGGTCTCCTCAAAAGGAGACAGCAAATGAAAGAAGTCCCCCTTCAGAGGAGACAAAGCCAAGGAATGATATGGCTACGAAAACCACAACGTAGCAGCAGCTGCAGCAGCAACTGCTGCAGCAGCAACTGCTGCAGCAGCTGCAACAATAACTGCAGCAGGAACTGCTACAGCAGCTGCAGCGTTAACTGCAGCAGGAACTGCCGCAGCAGCTGCAGCAATAACTGCAGCAGGAGCTGCAGCAGCAGGTGCAGCAGCAACTGCAGCAGAAGTTGCAGCAGCAACTGCAGCGGGAACTGCAGCAGCAATTGCAGCAGCTGCAGCAGCAGCAACTGCAGCAACAGCAGGTTGTTTTTGCTGCCCCTGAATGTGGCTAGGGTTTTGTTTTTGTTTGTTTGGGGTAGAGAGCAGCAGCAGCAAGAAGAGCGTAAGGGAAGCAGACGAAGCGAAGAGAGACAAAAGGAGACAGCAGCAAATACAGCTAATAGGGCTATAGAGACATAATAGAGACTCTTATAATAGCAGTGGGGCCCAGGCTATTATTATTATTATTATTTTATTATTATTATTATTATTATTTATTATTATTATTACTATTATTATTAGCATTATTTTTATTTTTATTTATTAATATTATTATTATTATCATTTTTTGTTATTATTATTATTATTATTATTTTGTTATTATTATTATTATTATTATTATTTTATTATTATAAATAGAATTATTATTATTATTATTATTTTTGTATATTATTATAGAGCATTATTATTACTACCTGAGTCTGCTTTAAGTGTATATGAGGAAATAAAGAGGGTTTATAGGCTTCATTAGGTAAAAGAGAAGAAAGAGACAGCGAGGCAGAGAGATCTGCACAGATTTGCAGGGGCTAATTGAGGTGTACATACACCTGAAGTATGCGTGTGAATGCTTCTGTATGCTTAGGGTTTAGGGTTTAGGGTTTATGAGGGTTTAGGGGTTAGGGTTTAGGGTTTATGAGGGTTTAGGGGTTAGGGTTTAGGGTTTAGGGTTCAGGGTTTATGAGGGTTTAGGGTTTTATTGTGTCTCTTTATTCTATCTTTCTCTTCCTTTTAATGCTGCTGTCTGTCTCCTCGGGGAGACAGGTGACCAGTGGTCACCCACTGAGGAGACCAGCGCTGTATTTGTCTCTTTGAGGGTTTTTGTCTCTTCTTTATGTGCAGGAGACAGCTGAGGGGCCTCTCCTCTGCTTTATTATTTAATTTATAAATGAAGCATTCATCTGTCTCTCTTTACTGTCTCCTTTCTGTGTTGCCTCTGTCTCCTTATACTTCTTTCTTACAACAAAAGCAGCCTCGTATAAAACCGCAACTAGAGACAAACAATAAAAAAGAATAAAGAGAGAGAAACATAAAAACCTCTCAGTCCACATTACTTCTTCTTCACTCATATTTGCTGCATGCATACACCGTGTGTATTTATTATCTTTAGGGGCCCCCAGTGTATATACATAGCTAAGGAGGGGAGGGGGCCCCCAGCGACCTCTACTTCTTTAGGGGCCCCCAAGGTATACCCTATACCCTCTACAGTATAGGGGGCCCCCGAGTATATCTGCTGCCTATTAGGGGGCCCCTAGGGTATTAAAAATAAGTATTAGGGGGCCCCCAGGGTTTAGTCGCCACCTATAGAGGGGCCCCTAGTATAAAAGCATTAACTACGTACTAAGAGGGGCCCCTACCTGTGCAGCTTCAGCATAGTTGAGGGCCCCTATTGTGCATTCAATATATATTAGGGGGCCCCTAGGGTACAGCTATTGCATAATAAGGGGCCCCTGGAGATAAGGATATTTATTATCAGTTGGGGGGCCCCTAGGGTACTAGCGACTTCTTAGGAAGGGGGCCCCCGAGTATAAGCTTTGCGTGTTATATGAATTGAATGATAATGCTGCTGCTTCTTTAGGGGCCCCTAGGGTACTGCTGCTGCAGCTTCTGTAGGGATCAGTATGTAGCTGCAGAGCTCATGCGGGGCCCCCACTGTCGGCGGCGGTTAGTTAGGGTTTAGGGTTTCGAGAGAGTCTTATAGCCCGTAGAATTAGGGTATTTAAAGAGGTTAATTATAAATAAGATGCCTGTTATTATTTTTCTGTTATACTTGCTGGTGCTGAGGTGTACGTACAGCTGAACTGAGTAGAGGGAGCTAGCCAGCGAAGACTGCTGGTGAGAGTTTGTGTAAATAATATTTGTATTGAGTGTTTGTTTTTGTTAATATTTAGAGTAAAATAATATTTTTACTCTTTTATTTTATTATTTTCTTTATTTATACACCCCTCTCCCCCCAAATGGTTAAGAGACCGGCAGCTCTGTCGCCTCTCGCTGCAGCATCCGCAAGCGCAGCAGCAGAGCGTAGATATATGAATATTATTCATTGTTATGAAGCCGTTTGTATTTATTACTCTTTCTCCTTTCATTTCCTTACTTCCTCTGTTGGAAAACCCTTTTAAAATACTTCTTTTGTGTACATTTAGGCTGTATATACACCCGAAATACAGCAGAGAGCGAAGAACCGCTGAGGCCACCAGCAGCTATGACTGGTAGGGGTTTGAGGTATATATAGATTATTAAAGGGTAAAGAGAGTATTTTAACTCTTTTAAACATATTTTAATTACTTAAAAACTATTTTTTAAGCCTCTTCTCTCTTCTTTCGCCCCCTACGTACCACCATCTCCAGCTGCTGCAGCCGAGGCGCCTGCTTAGCTGCTCGAAGAGCAGCAAGGGCCAGGTGTATGTACAGCTGCTTCAGTATAAAGCTTTTCTTCTTTATATCTTTAAACGCTGCAGCAACATCTTTATTACTCGTATACTCCACCGTTTCCGCCTCAGCAGCAGCAGCAGCAGCAGCAGCAGCACCGCCAGGCGTCTCGAGACCGATCCCTACCGCTGCAGCAAACGGCCGCACCTGCTGCTGCTGCTGCTGCTCTTGCTGCTGCTGCAGCTGCAGCAATAGCAGCAGCTGGTGCTTCTAAAGGGCTTGTTTACAAGGGAATAGGACGCTTTTTGAGCTGCCTGTACACCTGAAAGCCCCACGACCATCAGCAGCACTGCTGCTCCTGCTGTCTCTTTGCTACAAAGAGTTGAAGAAAGTTTGATCTTTATCTGCTGCTGTCTCCATTTGCTGCTTCTCCTTCATTTGCTTATTTGTTTTTCTCTTCAAACTAACAGGCATTGCAGCACAAACGCCGAAAAAGGA